CCCAAAACTGGATCAAAATCAATTCAAAAGGTGATATTCGTAATCACCGTGAAATTTTGCATCGAATGATATAGTTTTAAGTGAAAAATAAGAACTTGCAATTCTTTTGAATTAGCGGCGCCTTATTTAAGAATACAAAATAATAGCCTATCTCTTCGAAAAGCATATGATCCTAAAAAATGCTTTTTCGATTTGGAAAAACCTGAAAAAGTTTCTGAAAACCAAGCAAGCTAAGCATTTTTGTGCAGAAACCACACATATCCAGCAAAATTCCTAGATCCGATCCTTCGCTGCTATTTAAGATATTTATATTTAATATTTATTTCATATTTATATATATTTCTTTCTGTGGAGGTAGTAATTGAATCGAGCTATAAACTTTTATTTTCAATAAAAATTTGATGATGTTATCTTCATGTTCTCAAACTCATTCTATGGCTCTACTAAAAGTTTTGAGTTGAATAGTTGTTTGATAGCAGAACTGGTGCGTTTTTTCTTTTTCTGAGACACGTGATCGCTATCTGCTGACACTTAGTAGATAATATGTTACTCAGAATTACACGCTCTTTAGCGTTATTAACCTTAAAAGTATCAAAATGCGCGAGACTCTAGTTTCGGTATTTTTCTAATCACATGTTTAAAAATTCTGTTTTTAAGTCCATAATTTTCCAAAAAGCCTGTTTCTTGCTAGAAAAAAGGTTCCACTGGGACCCTTGTTGGTATCCAAAGTTTGAAAATTATTTTGGTACTTTTAGGGTTAAAATACGAACGTAAAAAACATAGAAAAACGACTCACCTGCGACCAACATCGGAATACCTTGTGATAAGAATAAAGTTGTTAAAAAATTTCGTTTCTGACAAGCACGACGTTCATTTACTGTCGGATCATCTGTGGGCCCTTCAATACCACAATTCCACGAACGATTATAACTTTCACCATCATTACTTTTTTCACCGTTCATATGATTATATTTTTCGTTATATGTAACTAAATCATTCAATGTAAATCCGTCATGTGCCGTCAAGAAATTAATCGAAGCTGTTGGTCCTCGACGTTCTTCTCGATACAAATCTGAGCTACCGGTAAAACGTTCAGCAAATTCAGACAACATACTAGGTTCACCGCGCCAATAGTCACGTACACAATCACGATATTTTCCATTCCATTCGGCCCAGCCCGATGGAAATTTTCCAATCTGATAACCACCTTCACCTAAATCCCATGGTTCTGCAAGCAATTTTACTTGTGATATAACCGGATCTTGATGAATTATATCAAAAAAGGCACTGAGACGATCCACCGCGTGTAATTCACGAGCAAGTGTAGCCGCCAAATCAAATCTGGAAAAATAGATCAAATCGCAATCTGTTGAAAGCATAATCAACTGCTCTCTAACTAAGATAACTATGCCTTCTGATAAAACCACAAGAGTCAGGGCTACTAGCAATAACAAATTATTCTTGTTCACCCCTCTTATTCGCTGCCTCGAAGTCGCTTAACTGGAATTGGAAGTAATGAAAACGAATATTTTGTGCAACTCTTCTCAAGTGTACGAGAGATTAGAGTTTATTATCTACTGGAACCCTTCGCTGAGAAAACGAAAATTTTTACGCCCCATCCCTTCCCATCTTTTACGATAAGTAGAACTGGATGCGCTAAAGTTATGCTAAAAAATTTTAAGCATTTAGTTTCACTTTCTTCGTAAATTAACAGGCATAATTGCAACCAACATCATTTGTTCTCTGAGAAAAACCACAACAGAAGTCGGCTGATTCTTTAATCGCGTGACTTTGTGACGAAACACAGAAGAGACCTCAGGAACGTCTCATTTTGAAAAGAATTGCCGAGCCTATCACCTAGACTATGACACCAAATTGAAACCTGGCTTTATTTAAAGATCGAGGTTTCTAGAAAATCAGATCTTTGCTGTTTTATAGACTAAAAGTGCTTATAAAGACACTGGACATAGTGCAGAGGTATGTCTAATCATCATACTTCACTTTGACACGACTATCAGCATGACCTTCTCCAAATGACTTTTTACTTGCGAATAGTAAAAAACATTCTTGTACTTCGGAAGATTTCTAGAAAACCTTTTCAAAAACCAGACTATTTCTTGTTGATTTTTAAAGCTTTTATAGAACTGCATAGTATTGAGCAGGTAAAATAGAGTACATGTTGATATTCTGGCAAAATTTGGATGGATATCCACTGGGTTATGAATTTTTGGTTTTACTCAAAAATAGGCAAAAGTGGGATATTTCACCTAAACTACATTTTCACTAGGTTTTCGGAACGTTTTTGAAAAACAAATGTTGCCACGGGATTCAGTATAGTCGATAACCTATGTTTTCATGCATTTCTGACAGTCTAAATCTAAGGACAGAAAAGTCCTGTGCCTTCGGGAAAAAGGTTCCGAACCAAGCAAAGCCAAACTTTTGCTTATAGCTTATTTTGTAGAGGGTGCATCAGACTATCTATCTACGAAAAAAAAGTAACAGATTACTATGTCAGTTTCTACAAAGTCTAGTTGATTTTCCAAAGATCTTATAGGAAGCGGATCTTCCGAATATTTTCGAAAGACGATTTTGCTTGTGAAAATATAGCTTAAAGTGTCGTCTTTCGATTGCTGAAAACCGCATGTCTCTGTCTTTTATTATTTTTGAGCTATTCAAAAAAAACAAATGCAATATATTCTGGCGCCGATAGTAGTCTTGACCTCTAAACATTTGGAGTTTCCACAAAGCTCTAATCATAGAGCGGAAGGCCAAACTTTAAGGGTTAGATTTTAGGAACGGTGGCTATTTCTAAAAGATAGCCCATAGTTTGGTGTATATGTCTCCACTCAGAATGCCTTACTCAGATTTTGAAACTTCCAACTTTCGATTTTTCATGACTGTGATACCCTCAGGAAAAGTTGAACAATGTACTTTCTCTATTTTGTTTCAAGAGACATGTGATAGATGGAGGCTGAGAGTGATTCCAAACATCATATTAATGTTGGAAACGTTAGCTTGCCTGGAGAAAATGGTGTTTTACTGTCACAAAACTTGAGTCCGTAAGAATAAAAAATACTCTTACTATCTTATAGAAACAAGCTTTTTAAAGATAAAAACTATCATCTATACTCAGAAAAACATCAGCTATCCGAATGTGATGGAAAAATGCGCTAAAACACTTTCTACACAATTGAAAGATCAATAACAAGAGCAAAATATAGTAAAACCCTTCCATTAGCATTATTGTTTTTACCACCGTCAGCTAAAACAAGCTAGATGCTAAGGAAAATATCAATATATACAGTTCTTTATACTACATCGAATGAAAATATTTTAAAAGAAAACAAAATATGCATTTCTATTATTTGGGATAATGATGTCGGTTGCAATTATGTCCGTTGACTTACAAAGGAAGTGAAATTAAATGCTTAAATTTTTAGCATAACCTAACCTGATCGAGTTCTACTTATGGTATATAAATTTCAGCCCGATCAGGCATTGCAACTATTTTTCATGGTCTAATTTTACAGAAAATCGTTCCTGGCAAAACAAACAAAAAATATCTCTTTAGAACTTTCTTGGAAAAAGTCAATTCACCGGAATAGTTCAGTAAATGAATACATGCGAGAAGATGAGACATTTCTATGACAAGTAAGGACTTTAGGCTTTCGAAAATATCCGGTCAAAAACGCTTGTTTTATTGGACTCTGCAGTAGATAATTGTCGGTACCAGTACTTGTGTGGTACCGAAGCATTCGGTACTAGCTCAGTGCCGGTACCGAAAGTATCGAACTTTTTTTCATTATCTAAATCTATTTTTGAACCCACAAGAATTTTTTTCCTCCCTAGATCGCAAAGACTCCCACCCTTAATTGTTTTCATAAGTAGCGAACTTTTCGGTACTTTTCCTGATACCGAACTATTCGATACTTAACAGGGTACCGAACCGAAATTTTCGGTACTGCTCGAAAACAGTACCAATACCGGTACCGAAGTACCTACAATTCTCTACTCTGCAGACGTGCGCTAAACAAGTATGGAGGACACACTTCGGTCTATCAAGGTTTACAGCGAGATATAAAGCTCTCTCCTGGCATGAAAGGAACGTAAAGCATTTAGTAACTCCTCTGCATGCGCTTTTAGGATTAAAAAAATGGGCACAGATGCGTTTTTGCAGATATTGCATTGCACGAGAAACCACACTGACGTGAGAAGAATTTCACCTTTGGAATGAGTAATCTACGCTGATGAGCGTTTTGCAGATAAAAAGGCTTTACCTGAAACCATCGACATGCATCTCCATTATCCAATAACGAAGACTGTCCATTATCAATCGTAGAACATTTGGTAACATACAATTAACGGTATTACCCGTACCCGTATAGTCAAAATAATATCGTCTGTCGTTTTCTGTTAGACGATAATAATTATTATTGTCAATACCTTTGAATGATAGTGTTGGACCCATTTGATTTCCTTCACCCGTATGATTATAAGCCACATCCAGAATAACTTCAATACCAGCTTTGTGTAATTTTTTAACCATATGTTTAAATTCAAAGACCTGTTGCCCGTGATTACTCGACGATGAATAACGAACATCAGGTGCAAAAAATCCTATTGTTTGATAACCCCAATAATTTGTTAAACCCTGATCTTTTAAACGACGATCGGTTATGAAATGTTGTACGGGCATCAGTTCAACGGCCGTAATACCAAGTTGTTTAAAATATTCAATGGTTGACTGATGTGCAATAGCAGCATATGTACCACGAATTTCGTCTGGGATTTCTGGATTAAGTTTAGTAAAACCTTTGACATGAATTTCATAAATAATTGTTTCATGATAGGGAATTTTTGGTGGACAATCACCACCCCAATTAAAATTTGCTGGATCAACAACGACACATTTTGGTATGAATGGTGCACTATCCAACGTGCTAAATGTTAAGTCTTTATCTGGAGATGGATCTTGAATATCATAACCGAACAGTGAATCATGCCATTCCAATGTATCGGTGATGGCTCGTGCATATGGATCAATCAGCAGTTTATTTGCATTGAAGCGATGACCATTCGATGGATCATACGGACCATCGACACGATATCCATACAGTTGACCGGGTTCAGAATCGGGTAAATAAACATGCCATACCTGGTGTGTTCGTTCTTTAAAGTATAAACAAAACCTTTGTGTTTTTATTGAATGTCAACAAGAACTCGACAATCGAACACGTGTCGAAAAAAGTTATATGGTAATAAATTGATTTGGAAGACCAGTTGTAAATCGAAATACTCGAGAGATAAAGTAAACAACTGCTATGAACATGATTTACTAATCACAGTGCATTTGTTTCATTGATATTTCGACGACTCTGCTGTCATCGTCAGAATGAAAACAAGCAGAAGCTTTCTAGTAAGAAGATATTCACAAAAGTAAGAGGAGAGAAAAGAAGGACACATTGTGTTTAGTGTGTATATATAAGCGCTTCTTATGGTTAAGCACTCTATGAGTGCAGTTTTATCGACCCGGAAACCATGTTCTAAAGAACATAAGAAGAGCTTCTTATATATACACACAAAACACAACGTGTCCTTCTTTTCTCTCCTCTTACTTTTGTGAATGTCTTTTTGCTAGAAAGTTTATGTATACGTCTACTTGTTGTTCATTCTAATGACGACAGCAGACTTGTCGAAATATCAATGAAATAAATTCACTGTGATTAGTAAATCACGTTATATGGTGTAGAGCGGATGATTTTCTACGCGAAAAGTACTGTACGTCATTCCCAAATGGCAGGAAACCTTCCATCCCACCAATAAAGTAGTAAGCTAATTCTCGGAGCCTAATTGGAGTCTGGAAAACCTGACTTTTTTTCAAGTATCACATCCTCCATTCAACTTCATACAGAAGTTGCAAACTTTTAGCTTTTTGAAACTTTGTAATCGACTCAAGGAATTTCCAGAAAACCAATGATGATTTTTCGAAAAAGATCGTATATGTGATCATTTGATTGTAGCTCCTCTAAATCTTTCTTAAACAATTTAGATTGTGTGTTAGTTGAGTCAGCAAAAAGCAGCGAACAAAATTGATACATTTTAGTGTTTCAAAATAATATTTTAGCGGGAAAACTAATTAAAAATTAAATAAATTCAAATTTTACGAAACCTGACAAAATGAATATTTCGTATTCAAGATTAACAACAAAACAATATGGCAACACAGATTATCGACACCTCTGGCCATCATGGTAACATCGATTTTACTGCTTAAACTTAATGATTGATTCTGCTCTTATCTAATGAATTTATCGAACTACCATGCAGATAAAAAAGTCGTTCGAGGGGTGTGGCGAGTACTCGAAGTACTCTTCGAACAAATTTTTCAGATTCAAACTTTTTCTCACTCAAAGCAAACCACAAAAAGTTTGGTTTTCTATGTTTTTTGAAGTTCAGACTTTGCTCTTTCTAACGAAAAAATAATTAACTTTCTAGCACATCAGAAACGTGTAAAAATAATGCCCGACATTTGTCCAATTTACTTTATTACGTATACCGCTCATCCCATACATTGAAACAAGACCGAAACGGAGCTTCGGTCTTGCTTCAATGTATGGAATGAGAGGTAAAGGGTGGCCCAGAAGTCCTGACCCGATTTGAAAACTATAGTTTTCTATAGTGAAACAAGTGACAGTAAAAATTTATCTCTATGAAGAAAAGATGCAGTAAAAGGCGCTCTACAAGGTGACTATTGATTGACCCGTTAGCTCATCTAGTAAGAATGTTATAAGCTTAGAAATGTGCTTCATAAAAAAGAAAAATCAACCGTGAATCCGGTCTCGGTATTTTTGCTTTAACTCCTGTTCGTTAGGTCCCCTAGAATAAGTTCTTTTTTTAATAGAAGCGTTGTGAAATTCTCTACAAAATCCGTACCTAAACTTTAATTTCAGAACTTCAATCAAGAAAACTAAGCAAATTATACACGAGGCAAAAAAAATAACTTTGTAAATTTGGTTTGTTTTACTTAACCTTCTACTTCTCCTATTATTTCCGTAAAAAAAGCAGTACTTTCAAATGTGCTCTTTCTTGCGGTTTGTAAAAAGACTTTTAGACCATATGGTGGGCTCGAGAATCAAGTTTCAAAAATATGTCAAAAATCAGCAACCCCGTTTCCAACAGTGTACCCAGCAAGAAACGGAAAACGTGATCGAAGTTTTGATGTTGCAACTAGGTAGAGAAGAGCAATCATTTCTGATCAAAGCAAATCAAACCCGATCGAAAAACGTTTTGTTTTGATGAAGTTATGGGACTTTTACTGAAAGCACCACCATATGGACCGGGTTCACGGTTGATTTTTCTTTTTT